GAATTTAGTATTCATTATTTATTAAATCATTACATTTGCGATGAGTTAATTTGTAAACTAATTTTGTTTTATGTAAATTGAATTGAATTCAATGTTAATTTATTTATTTTTGATATAATAATGCATAAATTAAAGTGAATAATAAAATAATTAAATAGTTAATTCCATAATTATATACATTATATAATATAATTATTTTATAAACATTTTTATTTTTACTGAACTGTTTTTATATATTATAAAAACTTTGGTTTTATAATAAACATATTTTTATATTTATTTTTTGATTTTTTAAAATAATAATTTGCCATATATATTATAAGAAGGAATGAAAATTCTTTGTGTTTTCGATTTTATATAATAAAATATTAATTAGTTAGTTGACTAATTTAATTAATATTTAATTTGTCTTGGGTTACTAAAAATTTCAGACACTTTTTCTTAAGTATACCAAAAAAATATTACCTGGAGTGAAACTTATCTCTGTTACAGTTAAAGCTTTCTTTTTGTATACAATAAATTACAAAACTGCCAGTACTCGGCCAGTACTGAACCAGTAGTGGTTACCAATACTGGTGCCAACTCTGGTAGCCAATACTGGTAAAATGTTATCTTCCCAAAGTTACGCCAACTCTGGCACCAATACTGGGTGCCAGTACTGCGCCATTAGTAAATTTTTGATTGGGTATTGACATATTCTTTTCTCGTTAAGAACCAACATTTTAAGTGGTACCCGTCATCTTTGCAAGCATTTTTCATATCTTTCCAGATAGTGAGTTAAAATTTATTTCGCATTATTTATAAATATTTAGAATGTTTTATGCAATTTAAATATTGTTCTTTAGTGAAATCAGACTTTTTACACCTGTATTCGCTATAAATGAAATTAATTACCTAGTTACTCATTCAATTATTTTTAAAATAATTTAATTTTATCTAAATTATCTAAAATTAATCTTTTATTATCTTATCTATTATACTTTATTTTATGTAAATTATCTTACTCTCTAAATCTGAATTAATAGTTTTCTACTAATGAAAGAGTGCGTATTCGTTTAACAATTTATTTAGTAACAGTTTTGACTAATTTTTAGTAAAAAAACTACTAATTGCTAGTAGGAAACTACTAATTCATGTAGTAAATCGGCTTACTAATTTAAAATAGTAAAAAAGTACGACTTACTAATGATTTAGTAGTTTCCTACTAGCAATTAGTAGTTTTTTTTACTAAAAATTAGTCAAAACTGTTACTAATTCAATTGGTAAATGAATACGAACTCTTTTATTAGTAGAAAACTACTCATTCAGACGCATTCAGATTTAGAGAGTACTTTTTCACATTTCATAATTTAAATAAAGAATATTCTAAAAAATATGTTTTTTCCTTCAATTTTTAACGGTGGAGCATAACTCCCCACGTTTTTTGAAAAGTCATTAAACCAGTATTTTCGAAAAACAAGCAAAATTTCTATTTTCGTTTTGAATTTTAATTAATTGATCATGTTAAAGTTGTGTTTGTACGTGTACTAAAATCTCTGTACAATAGAATAGTAAAAAAAAATTTATATAATAGTTTTGATCGAAAAACAAAACCCAGTGAAGAACTCCCTACTCTCCCCTACCAAAAAAATTAAAACTCACCCTTCTCTCGAAAGAGTTGTCGATATTGTTGAAGTTCATTTTCACTAAGCCATTGATCAGCTTCAGTGAGTTCTCCGTCATTTCCATTTTTGAATGTAGCCAACAATAATAATTTGCCAAGGGCCAAAACCATTGGAAGGGCCAAAAAGACCCCCGATAGTACCGTTGACCATCGTGCCATTGCGTATTAGCATCTGATAAATAAGAAAATATTTTTACCTTCTTTTATACAGTTATCAGTATAATAAAAAAAAACCTTGAAACAATAAGATAATAAAATTCACAACAATTAGCGACACTCGCTGGGCATTTCCATAAAAAAAAATTGGATATTCTGTCCGTGTATCAACGATGACTAAATTTATATCTCACTTTTTTTTTTTTTAAATTATTATAAAATAAAAATGTTTTTTTCACATGAGAAATATAAAGAAAATCGAAACGTATCTAGTATTTTTTTTTATTTTATGACAAAATTGAATTAAAACTATTTTAGTCACCGTGATTCATGGACTATTCAATTGTTTTTCTGTAAATAATATATAAATTCTAAAATTTTGTTTGACAGTGTCCTGTATTTTTCTTAATATATTTCAAGTAAATAGATACAATTAATTAAGGAATTAAAATCATATATTAAATAAATTATCTATTTTCAATGTTGTTTTCATTTATAAATTGAAAGAAAATAATAATAATAAAAAGATTGTCGTCGTTGTTTTTTTGACAGATGACAGGTTAGGGTCTAATTGATTTGTAGGTTATGTGATTCTACAATGTTTGTAAACAAATGAACTGTCAAATGAATGGATCCGTTAAACAATAATAAATATGTCTTACCACATTTTTAGAAAATTTCAATTCATTTCGATGTAGAACCGAAAATAATGTCGAGTACGTTATCATACAGAAAAAAAAAAATATCTGATAAAAATCCCCGGACCTCCAGCACCCCGACACAATGAAGTGATATGTAGTCACTGCGGAATTGTCGCCATTACCGGCATACGAGAAAATATTTCTTCTAGAGAATTTCATTGAGTCGGTAATTCTAGGGATTTTCTAAATTAAAAAAATAATAATTCTCTTCTTTATTCACTGTTGATAAACATTCATTTCTCATTCTCTACTTTATCAAAGTCGGTACTTTATCAAATTTGTTAGAATTTGATAATATATTATAATTTTATCTTAAACTAGTAATTTATAATATAGAGATTTTTTTATTTATTTCATTTTTTTATTTTAATTGTAAATTGTAATTTTTTTTTGAAAAAAGTCTCCTGTAAGCTACACTGTTTGATATCTAGCATGACGGGTTGCCATTCTGTAGGCGGCGGCAGATGTTTTCAATACATATGCGAAAATTTTTTTTTTTAATTTTAGAAAATTTTTTGGTCCTCTTGTATATTATTCATTTATAAAATTCTATTTAGAATTCTTTACAAAACTGTTTTGTAAATGTATCTGGCCGTTTTGCTAGATCAAGTAGTTTGCGGTTTTTAGGGGGGAAAAAACCCTAAATGAAAAGTGACAAGATATCACGGAGAGAAATGGATGGTACGGGGTAACAGTATTTATAAAAACAAAACTTACAAAAACAACTAAATATAAAAACATAAGGTAAACTTAAAATTATTGAACACGGAGAGAAATAGATGGTACAGGGTACTAACTAGATAGTACCAGGTACCATATTTGATCTTACATATATACGAACAGCAATCTAGATTCTGTCAGTTACTATCCAGATTGTACGGAGTAACATCTTGATTGTAGTAGGTAACATAACCATACTTTTTGTAACATCTTTGACAGTACCGAGTAGCATAATAATAGTACCGGATAACATCTACTTTTTGCCATTTTAAGATCATAAGTTCTTACCATCTATTTCTCTCTGTGATCTTTTAAAAATTATTAATATTTTAGAAAACTTGGTATCTGGGGGTTTTCGGGGTTGCTGATTATTAATCTGATGTTAGATATTTAAAATATTGGATTCGTCATTTTGAATTTTTAAAATCTGACATCAGGTTCATAATCAGCGACCCCGAAAATTCTTAGATACCAAGTTTTATAAAATATTAATAATTTTTTTGCAACATTAACCTCTAAAGTTAAATTTTACACACCGAAAAGTATGGGTAAAGAAGCTCTTTTTAAAACGGTGTATAAAACGCACCGAAATTTTTCTCACATAATATAACGATTGTTTTAGACCATAGAAAACCACAAAATTAAAGAAAGAACTTTACTTTTAAATTTATACACTACTGCTTAATGATATTTTTCCTGATGTTCGATTGATTTATTTAATTCTATACAATCGAAATTATTCTAATAGAGAGTTGGAATTCTTCATAGGTACTTAACTGTAGAGGTGGGTGTTGCAAAAAATGTTGTATGATACACGTGCGTAAAAAAGATATCTTGTCACTTTTCATTTAGGGGTTGTTTTTACCCCTAAAAGCCACAAACGACTTGATCTACACTGAAAAAAATTTGCTTTGCATTAATGACTATTAACCATAGTAACTTTAAATCTAGTCAGCGTAACCAAGAATCCTAGTCAATTTAGTTATGTAGCTTGGTTAATATTGTTAAAGTCGATTTAGTAGAATTGACTCCTTGTTTACTAGTTATATTAACTAAGATGTTTGGTTAATATGACATGCATCTATAGTCAATTTTGCTAAAGTTTAATTAGTCAAAGTGATTCTAGCCAATGTAACTAAGATACCTGGTTATTCTGATAAGCTTCCCTAGTCATTCCAACTAATTGTCGAAATTAACTTTGACCAAGATTGCCTAGTGGGTTCCTCTCGTAACCAGGAAAATTAGTCAATTCCTGGCATACGGGGGTTAGGAATTTTTTTCAGTGTATTAAAATGACCAGACACGGGTATTAAAAAAATATAATTTCTGTAGAATTTAATGCAATTTTGAATTTTAAAAAATTTTAAATTTAAATTTAAAATTTAAAAAATTTTTTGTGAATTTAAAAATTTTTAAATCTAAAAAAACTTGAATGGTTTTTATTACCATTTGTTACTATCATTAGAAATTAATTTATTGTTAAATATGTCAGTAACCATATTTTTGTCCAAAGAAAGCAGAAATAAGGTTATTAAAAAATCAGGGAAAAATAAAAAAATGTTAGAGAGGAGTCATGGAAAAGTCAGGGAATTTTTTTCTTAATCCTTGTTAGACACCCTGTTGTCAATTGTAGTCAGCTAAAGTGTTATCAAAAAATTCATTGTAAATAATTCTAAAATCAAATTTGAATACTAATCCATAATCTAAAATTCAATTTAAATTCCTAAAAGTTTCCTTTAATTGTTGTTTTATACTTTCAGGCACTAATTTTTCAACATCCGGAAAACTAGTCAGAGCCTTAGCAGTTTGCCAAGTAAGTACCATATTTTATTACATTATTAAATTTACAACTCCACAAAATAAAAAAAAATGTCGGTGTTTGGGGGTCAGAGTATTCTACCCTCATGTATTTTGGACCGCTGAACACGAATCTGAAGTCCTTTTTGCTGCACATTTTTTGTTTCACATTATTGGTAGTATACGAATTTCTTTAAATATTTATAGATTTATATAAAATTTATTAGCTGGGGTAATATAGGGTCGTTAATTACGAATTTGAAGTCAGATTTTTAGAATTTAAAACGATAGGCAAATTTTTTGAAAATTGATCAATTTTAACAAAATTTTCTTAAAGATTTATAGATTTGAATGAAATTGTTAACTTTTTTTGGAGTTTTTGGACTCGCTGATGACAAATCTTAAGTCAGATTGTAAAATTTCAAAATGGCCGATTCAATATGGTGTAAAATTTTCTTAAAATTGATATTTTTTATAAAACTTGGTACCTAGGGGGTTTTAGGGTCCGTGCAGTGAGAAAATTATATTCTAAATTTAAGAACATCTTCTTGGCGTCTATTTAAGTATATTTCCCATGCATTTTATTCTTACAGTTAGAATATAGTATTCTTAAAATAAGAAACACTTCTTAAACTGAGAAATATTCTACATGGCAAAAGAAAATATTCTTGATTTAAGAAGTGTTTCTTATTTTAAGAATATTATATTCTAGCTGTAAGAATGAGATGCAAGGAAAATATACTTAAATAGACGCCAAGAAGATATTCTTAAATTTAGAATATAATTTTTTCCGTGCAGCGACCCTAAAATCCCCCTACACTGAGAAATTACTAATGGATTAGTTAAAACTACTAATTGTTTACTAATTCATTAGTCATTATTCAATTTTACCGCCAAATCGTAAATAATCAATAAAAATTTATCAACTTATTCATACTAGAATTTTAAATTTGAAAAGTCGAGTTTCAAAGATAAAATTTTTCGCATGTAGTTTCTTCATGATTGTATAAACAAGGAGGGGGTCCTTTATGTTTATTTCATAAACATTATGCTTCCTCATTGTGTGAAGCAAAAAATTTGCTTCCTCGTGAAGGAAGCAATGAACTTGTCCAATTCAATTGATTGATTTAAAAAATTTCGAGTTAAAAATGTTTTAAATTAATTAAATTTTTTGAAAAATAAAGAAAATTTTAATTAATTTTGAGTGTAACATAAACTTTACATATACGAATCGATTCGTTTTAATGCAAGAAATACAATTATTTTATTCATCAACTTGAATTTAAAAAAAAACACAAAATTTTTTAGCTAAAATATGAATTTTCGATTTTTCAATTTTTATTAATTCTCAAATTTTAAATCAAATCTATACTTTATATATATCAACCAATTCGTTTCAATGCAGGGAATAAAATTATTTCATATATAAACATGAATTTAAATAAACACATCATTTTTTAGCTAAAATGAGAATTTTTGATTTTTTAACTTTCTTTAATTCTTTAAATTTCAATCACATCTATACTTTATATATATCAATCGATTCATCTTGACATAAAGAAGACGATTATATTATATATTACCTTAAATTTTTCGATTTAAAAATTTTTTCAATTAAAAAAAAATTTTTGGAAAAAAGACGATAAAATTTTTTTTTTGGGGTATTTTCTAAAATCATTGTGTCCATTTTGAGATATTGATGTGACAAATATACGTACCAAATTTTAGCCAAATCCGTTAAAACGTATTAAAGTTATCGTGTTCACAAAAAAATGGATCCACACACACACACATACATACATCCGGACAATTGATCAGGGACTTATATATGACATTTATAAATAGAAAAAAATTTGTTTGGTGCATTTCTAATAATTTCATAATTTGAAGGACTACATAGCTTCCTCCAGAGGAAGCAAAAATATTTTATTTTTAAAAGTCCGTTTTCATGGATTATATTGCATAATATTGGCAAAATTCATATAAAATTTTTTACGTTCTGGTGGTTCATTTGATATATTATTTCCGATTTTTTTTGAGTAAAGATTTTATTAAAATTTTTACTTTATAGTAATTTATTAATTTACTTAAAGACAGTTTAGATACACATACATAGTTACTTTTGGTGAAATAAAATTAATAAAAAAATTTTAACGGTTAGTTTATATCAAAAATTTTTTTGAAAAATAAATAATTTCAAAAGTAATATTTAAAGCACCAAACAAAATATTTTGAACATAGTACAAGCTATAGTATCACATAATACTTCAAAAAAACAGAACAATAATTTAAAAATAATAAATGCTTTCAAAAGTAGTATTTTGAGCATCAAACAAAGTATTTTGAATAGAGTACAAGCTATAGTTTCACATAGTATTAAAAAAACAAAAAAATATTTTTAAAAAAAAACCCATGGAAGATGACATACGTCATAAAAATAATAGAGGTTACGTTCAACTGACTAATTCAATTAGTAACTCGGGTGTAATAACTAATAGAATTAGTTAATTTGATTACTATTTTAAATTAGTAATGTTCAAATACTAATTTTTTACTATTTTATTAGTAAAACTTCCAAAAATAACTAATTCATTAGTTGAAATTTAATTTACTAAATGAATTAGTTAATTTTTTACTAATTCAGATTTAGAGAGTACCAAAGTTTGGTTCCCTCTATACTGAGAAAAATATGCTATTGAATCAATAGCATTTCTGCCGAAGGCATAAAAATTATTGATTCAAAATCATATGCTATAGAATCTATATAATATTTTACAAATTCTATAGCATATGCTTCAAAATCAATAATTTTTATGCCTTTAGCAGAAATGCTGTACCAAATTTTTTATTTAATATAGATGCAACAAAACCGTTTGATTGTCAAAACTAAATTTTTTTGATGAATCGTTTTATTCGGTCTACCAAATTTTTTGTTTCGCACAACTAAATTATTGTTTTTATGCAATCAAAAAATTTTGTTAAATGAAAATTATTTTTTTTTGTTTTCTAAACCGACTTATTTTTTGGTTAATACTTTTCGCTTTATATAATTTACTTATGCCTACTTAAATTAATTTCTATCGCAGAAAAAACCTAACACTGCTGGGGCTCGAACCCTCAGAGTATTCTCTAAATCTGAATAAGTGAAATTTCACTTAGAATGTTTCAAAAGTCTTCCACGTAGAAAAATAAGTGACACTTCACTTATTTTTGAGTAAAAATCACTTATTTTTAAGTATATATACACTTATTTTTCTACGTGGAAGACATTTGAAACATTCTAAGTGAAATTTCACTTATTGAGATTTAGAGAGTACGCAACGCAAGTCAAGAACGCTGATCACTACTCTACGAATACTACTAACAATTTGAGATTAAATCATTTTCACATTGTATGAAGGCTGGAAAAAAACTTTCGTTCTTTTAACAAGTTTTATTTATTTATTCTCACGCAAATTTTTTTTTTTAAATGTCTGAAAAAAATAAAAACTTTAACACTAAAACTTCACGACGCGAACGACGTACCCTAGTAGAAATTTGTCCTATAGCTACACGGAGAGAAAAATCATACTATATTCACATGGGTTGTGTCACTCATTATTCACATCACCTGTGACGTGTTTTTTTTACACAAAATTCATGTGTTTATTGGGTCGTAGATTTCTATGCAAGAAAAGTTTGGAACATGTACTATATTTGCTTCAAGTCCATGTAGTAAATACTCCTCTCCACTCAATGCGAAATTTGCTTGAAATCCATGCGCTTTTCGGATGGATTTCTTGCAACGGAGATAGAAATGATAGTGCGCATGCGTGACTATATATATATGACTAGACACGTGAACGGGAGTCACGCATGCGCACTAGCATTTCTATCTCCGTTGTAAGAAATCCATCCGAAAAGCGCATGGATTTCAAGCAAATTTTATATAGAGAGAAGGAAGGCAATTTTATCATGTTTCTTAAGCGTTTATAGTTTACAGATCAATCAGAATTAGTATACATGTCTTTCTAATTTCACACAACGTTTATTCATGCAATAAACACAAGATTTCATGAAAAAATATCTTGCGTGATAAACGATTTTTACATGAAATAGTGTTATGTTAAAAAAGCAACAGTGGCTCATGTGAATATAGTATGATATTTCTCTCCGTGTATTTTAAAGGAACTGCCTAGTCGCGCTGGAGTCTGTCTAGTTACTTGACTGACCAGCTAGCTAATAAATCGAACGTCGTGTCACGCTTTTTTCATCAAGTTATTATCTAGCCCAACTTGATAAATTTTTATCAAGAGTCCTGTAGAAATACTAGAGAAATTAATTCCATTCAAATATTCTCAAAATTTTTTAATTATTAAGATTTACTGTAATAAACAGATTTATTTTGTGAAATTAATTAAAATTTCTAATTTACACCAAAAAGTTTAAAAAAAATTGTATTAAAATTTTTTTTAATCCATTATAATAAATAGCATTCAATAATAAATTATATAATTATATTTTCTAACTTTTAATTAATTATATAAATTATTATTTTAAAATATAATATAAATATATTATAAAATTGTTACATTGGATTTTCTAGAATATTGTTTAATTTTTAATTAACCTTATAACACTAACACGCAATTTCAACGAAAAATCTTTGGGGGTAACGGGGAGCGAACCTGGGTTCGCTGGGTGCGAGTCGCACGCAATACGCAATATACCGATTGCGATTCACACGATTAATGCTGAGGGATAAATACCGACCTGCTTCAGTTTAGTCCAGCAGTGCCGTAGCTAGAGATCTTAAGCATTTGTATATCGTTTTAATATTTTTTGTACATTAAACATTTTAAATGTCTTTTTAAATTATTATTACTTTTTAATAGGTGAATTTATAAAATTGTAAATTAATTGTGAAGTAATCGTAAATTCAAATTACTATTAACAAATAAAGTGTGAATTATGTCATGTAATAATTTAACTTGCAGAAACAAAAAATTATACTAAATATAGTGATTGTAAAACTAT